TATATATAGATAGATATGTCTTACAAATTTGTCATATCAAGAATATCGTTATCGCAAAAATACTCATTATTTTAGGGCCATATCGCCCACCCTTAGTTGTAATATTGAATGTGATATTAATGCAATATAGAAACCAGATAAGCACATCTACACAACAACTACAGGGGCTGTAATTATTCTCACTATCAATTATTCTGTCTCTTTTTTGTAGTCGATTAATCGACTAAACTATCCTGAAATTTCTTGTTTTATTCATATTCAAAAGCTTAAAAAAATTCGATTACCTATCATATGTGACAAAGAAAAACATCAAATCATCACATTTGAGAATCTTGAATAATTATTTTAACGAAGATGCACTAAATCAGTGGGTTGTCATCTGTTTAGAATAAAGGTTATTACCTCTACTTTGATCTTGACGTCCTCTCGCGTTGCTATGAGCTCATCCAGTGTCTTCTGGGCGTTTTCCATGTGGCTGCAGTACTGACCATAGATCAACAACCTGGTGAGGGACACAACAATAACAAATGTTAATCTAAAACACCATCACAGCTTCTCCTCCTTTATCGGACGAGGAGAGGAAACACTACAAATATCTGTAGATTTAAGTATGACCATGGCTCCTTCTGCCAGGTCTGTTCACACAATCTGGTCATATTCATTATGTTTGTACCTTACAGGAGACTGGACAGCAAAATGGACATGATCCACACACACCTCGCTGTGTATAACTCAAGCATACCTCTCCATTTCACCAAAGACATGAGTAAAGAAAGCTGTAGGAGCAAACTGAGTAAAGACGATTGTCTTTCAATCACAAGTATTGAAAAGACAAGGACATGCTCCGTCTCTGGCTTGCTGATTACATTTCTATTTTAAGTTCTTAAGCACACTCACTCCCCAAAGGCCCTCTGCGACTCAACACATCTTAGAAATATTCCAGCTCCAGACGATGAAACACTGATGTCTGTTGAGAGAAATCTTCATCGGAGATTTTGATTCAGATTTTCTCTGCTTGTTCTGTGCGAGTGCGGGAATATTTGATGACACATGGGCTCATAAACCTGTTCAGCCTTGTGTATGGTTAAAAAAAAAAATTAAAAATGAGGCTTAATAAGGACTAATGAGACTCGTTTCAAAAGGTTGGAAATATATCATATCTTTGTTAAAACAAGGAGACAAAGAAGATTGCTGTTTGAGTCCACAATTAGCTGTGAACTGGTTAGTGCCTTTCGGCGATGTACTGCACATTAATTTTCAAGATTAATAACACAATTTGAGAGGTCAGCCTGAGAGTCATTTGGCTCTATAGGGGGCAGAGAAATGAATTTTTGAATAAATGCAGTATGATTAGGAAAATACGTGAATACCATGAATAAGTAATGACTGGATTTTGATCCCAGGGCAATATTTGGAGGGGCGGCGTCCTCTTGCCAATAAGCTGTAATCACAGAGCACTAATGAAAGACGCTGCTTTATATCAGCTGTTTTGCAGAATTCCTCTTATCAGCGTGTGTGGAAGAAAAAAATCTCTTAATTTCGAGCAGCGAGGATATGAGAGCTGTGTTCATTAGATATTACAATGGGACCCTGACACAGATCTGTGGGTTCAGCTGGGAGGGAGTTCAAAGTCATCCTGCCTAGAGGATGCCACTGCACGTGGCACACATTCCTCTTGCTCGCTCACTGAGTCAAAGTAGGGCATTGGCACGGCTGGTATAGAGCTAAACCCCCCCGGTAGAGTTGGCACTCCGGTCTCTTAATCTGAATCTTGAGCGGCGTGAGGCGGTGCAGAGAGCTGGCACCCTGAAGTCTCATCAAGCCTTTGATAGATCTGTGATGCAGACAAGAGCAGCACTGCAAACAGACCGAGCAGAGAAAGTTTGTATGACGGAGCAGATGAAATAAAACATCACATTAAATCCTGCTCTTTCCACTTCACCTACATTTCATGTGCTTAATTCTAAGTTTCATATACATATGGCTCACTATGTCATGACATATTTTCACTTACAAGTACCCATATGTTTTTAACAGACTGCATAAAACAATGGATGTAGGCACTGTGACCTCACCCATTGGTTTGTGGACTCTTGTCTTTAAGTATTAAGTATGGCATTTCAGCCATTGCTATCTAGAAGTGACCATATTTGGACGTGAGTGTCGAACTGATCTGGCTCACAGACTGTAATGATGCCTCATGAATAACCTGCGGAAAGCAGCCATGCCCTAAATTATGCATAACTTTAAGCCCTAACAAAATAAAAATGGGCAAGCTACATAAAAATTCATCCCCTGTACGGCTGTCATGAATGTTGAAATCAGCTATAGAAACCAAAAATGTCTTTTGTACCAGGCTGTAAACATGTTTATTTCTGCTGTAAAGTTGGGCATTTGAACATGGGGGTCAATGGACTCGCTTCTGGGGCCAGCCTTAAGTGGCCATTTGAGGAACTGCAGTTTTTGGTACTTCCATGTTGGCTTCACTTTTTAGCTCCAGAGGTTGCAGCTTGGTTTAAAAGCAGCGTTGTGTGTGAAAGTTGTGTTTCCTGCTGCAAGAGGACACTGTCCACTATGATTTATATGAACAAGGTCATGTCCACTGAAAGAAAGTGAAGGAGAAGAAGACAGAAGAGGAAGCATTATGCTAGTGCTAGCATCCCTGCACTAGCTACCTATCAAATGCAGGATTAGTTTTGAGGTTTTATTTGTTTCTAAAGCCACACATGGGCTGGCACCCCAGTATATTGCTGAACTTCCTGCCCCTACTTCGACTCCTGACCACTTAGATCCTCAGAACGATCCTTAACTGTCCGACGATCGAGGCTGGTGGGTAAGGAAGATCGTGCCTTTGCTCCAAAGTGCTGAAAATGCTCCCTCTCCATTGACACTTTAAGACAAATCTTAAAACATACATGTTTTCAATGGCCTTTGGTTGTTTGCAGTGGTTCTAATATTTAGTATTTTATCATTTTTACATATGGAATTGTTCTTATCAGTGTTATTCTGTTTCATATGTGTGTACATGTTACATTGCTATACATTTGTGTGTCATTCTTTTAATTTGAACAGCACTTTGGTCAGCTGTGGTTGTTTTTAAATGTGTTATATAAACAAACTTGATTTGAAGAAAAAAGCTTGAGAGAAATACAAATAAAGTGCTAATGATGCACAGAATTAGGGCTGCAAAGATCAGATGATTCACCGATCGATGTATAAATCCAAAGAAAAAAAAAATCTGATCTCTTTTGATAACTGACTAATAGTTTTAATCATGTTTTCTAGAAATGCCGAACATCAGCCAGTTCCAGCTTGACAAATGTTATATTTTGCTGCTTTTCTGTGTCTCATATGATTATGGACTGCTGCTTGCTTACAATGTTCTTTTTTTCACATTTTATTACAACATATATAACAATTGTTATAAGAAAATAATCAGCAGATTAACTGATGATGAAAACAATGATTGGTTGCAGCCCTACAGAAAATCAAAATACAAAAATACTAGTCCATACCCATTGAGTGCACAGTTGCCCACATAGTTTCACATGGTGTGTGTTTGGGATATAGGTCATAGGAAATTGCAGATTAAATAGTCAACTGAACCCATTAAGAAGAGCAATGTATTCAGATTGATATCAACGCGCGTGCGCAGTAACTTGTGGGGTGAATGCATACAATTCAATTAAAAGCGACTTTGTGAAAGAATATACTTATAGTGTAATTTTTGGAAAAAGTAGCTTTGTCACCTTCTACCTATGCCAGTCCTCAATGCCTATGTGCAGTTTCATAGTTTGACCACGTCAGTGAGTAGAAAAACGTGGGACAGACGGAATGACTGACTGACAGAATGACACACTGACAGTTTCCGTGATTATGTACAGCATACCATACCATGACTTAGTCATACCAAAAATGAGAAAAACAACAACATTGGGCCACAGGGGGAGCCACAGCGATCGGTCACATTTTAGCCATTTTTAAGCATTTTTCTGTTGTTATAGCGCCACCCAGTTGCCAATTAGAGTTAAATGCCTCCAGTCACCTTGAGGCGCCCTGTTCTACATATCTACCAAGTTTAGTAAAAATCCATATGGCGGTTAGGCCTAGATAAGAAATTAGCTCTCTAGCGCCCCCATTTTGTTTGATGGGGTCAATAATGGAGGGGTCCCCTCAGATTATGTGTGGTCATATGCCTACAAAGTTGCGTGGTGATGGGTGAAACCCTTGAGATGTTATACACCTTTATGTGATGAGCCACGCCCTCCGCAATATTCATTGCCTTATAGAAGCTCAGTTTGAGTAAGTTTGGGTTCTTGAGGCAAATTTGTTCCTCTTGAGGAGAGGCATCTCTGTGCAAAGTTTCATGTCTCTACGACATACGGAGCATGAGATATGCCCATTCAAAGTTTGCAATTTCAATCGGTTGCTATAGCGCCCCCCTTTGGCCAACTGATGTAATATTGCTTCATTCACATCCTCCCATGACCCTCTACCACTGTGCCAAATTTCACATGGATTGACCAAGTCAGTGAGGAGAAAAACGTGGAACAGACACACAGACAGAGTTTTCGTCATTATATAGTAAGATGTAACAAAATTAAAAAATAAATAGCTAAATTATAGTGGTTGCATTCCACTTTTCTCCTAACAATTATTAGCTGACATTGCCGTCTAACTGATGTACATCTATTCTGACTATGTTACTTGAAATGCCATATGTAGTAAATAGATTTTCAAATGATTGAGTCTTGACTTCGCTGCTCCCACAACACAATATGACAACTTATGAATCTCAGTTATAGTGTTAAGTGTCATGTTTAGCCAGAGGTGTGACTTTGAACACTGAATCACAGTCTTCCTCTTGAAAGCAGCGTTTCTGTCAGACCCCATCGGTTGATCATCCTCAGCTCCACAGAGATCCACCACTGATGATCCCTGGAGCTTCACTGGAGCTCAGGCAGTGTTGTGACTACAGCCCCCCTGCAGTGAGGCTCCTACCCTGGTTAAACTGGCCCTGGGCTAACAAGCCCCTGATTAAGACTTGATCCACACTCAGGGAGACAGCTCCCCTCAGCTCCCGCCCCTCCAGGATGACAAAGTGATTGAGATTAATGGTGGTCTTGATCAATTAAAAGAAAGCAGGCGGACTGTGCAGCATAGCGAGGATCCAAGGACACGTTCCAGAGACGCTCGTCATTTAATACGTTATCAGGACAGAAATGCATCGGCCTCAAGCTTCTAGTGTGAATGTGGGAATCACTGTAGCAGTTCAAGAGTTTAAGTGTTGAGAGATATTACTGGCAGCCATGAGTATAAAAGATTACTGAAATATTTACGAGTGAATATATTAAAGGGAATTAAAGGAAGGTGAAGCAGCTATTTACTGAGGTTAGAGAGGTTCAGCCTTTCTTTAAAGGGACTTGTTGTACAGTGTGTGAAGGCTTGATCTTATGGAGTTTGTTTGAATGCTCATTTATATTGATCAGTGCGGCCTTCATG